TGAAAGTAACTCATATTACAACCTAGACTTCAGTGAAAAGCTAGTCAGAAAAGCAAATTTCAGGCTAATCTTTCTTAAGAACATGAACTCCACAAGATAGAGGTCATAACACTAGGTATATGTGTGAGGCTTAAACCATTGAAATTTAGACATACCTCAGTAAATTAATGAAACGGATGCATGATCTAGATTTGCTTTACACTTCACATTTGAAGTCAGAGACTGAAATTTTATGTTTTGATACATGTCCAGCAAAAGCATTTACATGCCAAGAAAGATTGTCTCTTCTATTTCCACAAACACTTCATAAACCAACTACAATAAAGCCAAATATCAACTTCCAACACCACCAGAGGATGGGGACTAGATGGCACTGTTTTCTTCTAATGCAAGCATGTATCTTTAAGAAAATATCAAACTGTAATACTAAATGAAATATATATTAGTCTTTTCAACAATGCTTTTTTGATGCTTTTTCAGGACAGCGGGTAGAAGTGTTAAGCTCTTTAAACCAGTATTCTCAATCTGCTTTTTTTAAGTTTCTTGCTGTGTTAACCTTGTCACACTCTTGTTCCAACAGAGCATAAGGGATAAGCAAATAAAGACAAATTGTTTATTTGATTAAGTCCCCCTGAACACTTTTAGATATTATGCATTAGCACTTAGATATGTTATTAACTACGACCGCTGTAATCCTATAACGTGAAGCAAAAAAAATGACAGCACACCTTAAAGCACACAAAGCTCTTCAGATACCACAAAATATAGCTTCTACCAGCACACCAAACTAAATAATTGAGCTGAAACTGGCATGTACATGGAATTTCTGCATAAAAGAGTAAAAAAAAAAAAAAAAAAAAAAAAAAAAATCTTGTAATCAATCTTATAATAGCAACACACATGCTGTCAGCAGCTGGTAACTAAAAGTTCAAAAAACAGGTTCTTCAACAGCATCATCATAGCTGTATTGATCACCAGCTTTAGTGCAGACTTTTTGGTGGGCAAAGACAAACTGGGCGGGCACAAGACAGAACAAGAGAAATCCCTATATACATGGTATATCAGAAAGCACACTTCAATGGAACAGAGGTTTTGTAAATTTCAACAGTGCACCAAGTTCTCATCCTTAATTTTCAGACTGAAAAAGAAAGAAAGCCATGCAAGCCCCCACATTTTCAGTTACTTTCTCCCATTCAGTAATGATCAATCACTATGGGTGTCATCAACTGTGCTGTTGCCCTCCTATTGCTAAAGTACTGTGTTTTATCTTGGTTTTTAATTAAAAAAAAAAAAAAAAAAGGCAAATCCAGCACAGGAGAACTGGGAAAGCCTTGCTTTTATTTAAGCCACAATTACACGTTGTTTCAATCATAGTCAAATTTTTCTTTCTTTCCCATGGGGATCCCCCCAGTGTCTCAGTGCGTCTGTTCCTAGCATTAAAGCATTCAAGCCTTTTTCCTCCACCCAGCTGCATGAAGCTTGTATTACGTTAATCCTCTTTGATTCAGATCGAGACAAATTTGTCTAGGCTTCAGAAGCTAAGGGTGGTGGGTGGACAGACAGAATATTTAAACTTACCACACAAAAGCTTGTTTGCATAGAATACCAGACTGGCAAAAGGTGTGATTCAGTATTCCTTACAACAGGAAAACTAACACCTACAACTCCCTTCCACTGAAAAACACCAGAAGATTTTACTTTTGTTTTCTAAGCTGTCTTTGAAAGGTTGTTTGACAGAATGTCAAGTCATAGAACATTTCAGTTCAAAGTTTGGACATTTCAGAAAGCTTTTGACTGTGTAAGAGAAAAAAACCTACAACCTCTCAAAGACTTACAAAATTTCAAGTGGTCCGCACTGAAAAACAGCAATGCGAAGGTAAGGCAAAGAAACAATTGAAAAATACACAGAAAAGCAGAAACAAGAGGAAAGAGAAGGCAGAAGTCCATACTACATATGCATCTTACAGAAAGGAGGTACAGAACACATGAAGAGAAACAAGAATTAGGTTTCACACAGATTATTTTCCCAAACTCAAACATAGCAGAAGAATTCAGCCATCCTCGTTATATAACTCGCAGTATCTTAGCATTGCTCTGAAGACAGACAGGTGAAGTACCCCTTTACGCATCATGGGATTTTGTTTGAGTTTGTGACTGGAACCCATGAAACCTGCTGAAAGACACACCGGAAAGAGACTATCTGTCATATCTCGAAACTGCTGTTCAAAACATTTCCAGAAGCACCTGCAAAGGCATTAACCTCCTTTAGCTCTTTAAAATTGTAAAAGCAATGCCAACTGAGACAACAGTCATACTGCTCATAACATCTGGATTTGTCATATTTAATTTAATTCATCGGTACTTATCAGGAAAGTTTTATTCCTCAGTCCTTGAAGTTTCCTCCAGGTAAAGTTTTACCTGGAGGAGGAAAAAAATCTGTTATCACTTCTGCCATAAAAATAATCCCTGATATAAATATTTAAGTATTACATTCCCTAAGATAAAGCAAATAAACCCTTTCAAAGAAGTGTATTTGGACTCAAAATTAAACATATATTCTAGTGGAAAGCAGACCTTTTAGGTACTAAAATATCTCTGCACCAAATATAAACCTACTTGAGGAGGAGTGGAAAATCTTTGAAAATTTTAATAGAAGCAATACATTGTCAGTTCTGTTCTCTTGCTAAATGAATACTTGACATTGCTTATGAAAGAACTACTTGACTGAGAAACAGCTTCATAGAACAGAAACCAGCTGTCTTCTGACAAACAAGAAAGCCTACATTTGCTGAACAACATATGTCATGTTTGTCTGTTTTCTCCTTTTTACTTCCCTTTTTTAGATAAAGCTGCTTTTGTGCTGAGAAAGAAAGCCATTTTCCTCTCCCCACTACTCCTTCATTCACTACTTTCACAGGTTCCTCTTCACACTGCCTGGGTAACACCTGGAGTTTCGTCTAACTCTTCAAGGACTGAGGAATAACTTGCTGAAAAACAATCAGCTAGCAGTCTGGAAAAACACTCCTAATAAGGTTAATGTTTATGACTGCTGCTCAGTCTCTCTTTTTTACTTTAATCACAAGTCCCTAAATGTTGCTCTACATTATCTACCAATCAGTTACACTAATTTGTACCAAGCCAGGTCTACATAAACCCTTCTCACTTAATACAGCCTCAGCAGCTGGCTCTGGCTCAGCAAGTCACCTCTGCCTGCTCAACCACATTGGCAGCAGTTCCTCGCTTCCTACCATGAGTGCTGAGCTCCTTTCTCATACACAATGCCATTTTCCTCTCCTTGGAGAATGACTGCATTCATGGTTGACAGAAACAGAGGGTAATTCCGAAAAAAAAACAAAATTAAAAATGTGGCATGTGCATCAAGGTATCCAAAAGTATTACTGCTCTCTTTTTAATATGGCAAATAACAGCATCTGTCTTCTGACTGGTATGAGCACATACTACTCGTTAGCATTGACAGGAGTCAAGGAGCTCTACAGATACCATATTATTACTATGCACACAGGGTTATCTTTGTTTATTATCCTAAACCAGAGATTTCTGACTGGTTACAAGGAAATTCGTGTGCTCTCTACTTTGTGCCAGGACACTTGGAATGAGCAGAAAAAAGCCTGATGAAGAAGGTGCCAAACTGTAATTCTATTAAATAACTCAAAGCAGAAAGTCAGTCAATTAGACATTTAAAGACTGAAAGCAGGCTCACAATTGTAAACAAATCATTCATTCAGACTTTGTTTCAAAGATTGCTCCAGACTTTCTGTCTATCAGTGACAAATGGCAGTGATGAGTCCTGCATCACATAATTTTGTAACACTCAAAAGCAGAACTCCAGCGAGAAAAATCTAAGACATCGACAACTCAATGCATCACTGTAGCATGGGTTTTTCCGTCAGCTTTTCTCATGGGAGAACTGAAGTTCCTCCAATGTACCATAAAAACATAATCAAAACTTCAGCTGGATATATTATTTAGGGCTATGAAGAGGAAAAGGCCTCCCTGCGCTGATGCAGAAAGCAGAAGTAGGAACAAAACTGCAAGTGCCCAGAACCATCTTGGGGAAATTAGTTTAACACTGAGCATGCTTAGCAGCTTTCTTAAATCCTAAAAGAAAGGTGCTAGTTATGACAGGGAAGCTAACCCTTGTGAATCATCCATACTGAGACTGTGACATCAACCAGTACTTGGTTAGGAGAAAAAATTGCCACAGAGCCTTAGCTGAAGGCGATACATCTCGACGAGCAAGGATTAGCTGGTCATCCCCCGTGGCAGATCTGGCTACAGGGCAAGGTCATTTGTTTTGACACAAGACATGGAGAGAGCCACACATCTATAAATGCTGGTGCAAGATCTACTGTGTTAGAGAATGGGTGCTGTTGTGCTGATGAATTGAAAGGATGCCAGCCTGGACTGCAGACATTACAGTTCCAATCTGGTTTTGTAAGATAAGGATGTGCAGGGTAATTGCATAACTGACAACATGTACTACATTTTAGGTTATTTAATTGACTGAATCACAACTGGAGAGTAAAGAAGTCTAAACATAAAATCAAAGTGTAGAACTGCTAAAAAGTTATTTATTTTAGAAATATTTTGGAGTATCTTTACAGGAAAATACCATGGACTTACTCATAGCTTTTCTCTGCAATTACTTTATGGAAAGCACAGACCAAGGCCTAAGCAAGTTATTAATTCCCAGTTTTGTTTTGGAGTATGACAAAAATTTCAAAGTATACTATAACATTTTTGCTGTATTTATGCTTTCTATTTTGTGACCCCAATCATAATACACATAATAACAAACAAATAACATAACAAATCCTGTGGGCTTATGGCACTCTTCTTTCACTGGAGAGGCTCAAGACTGAGCTACAGAGACACTTGCCCCTTCTGCTTTTTATTTTGCAGATACCCTTTCCATTGCACTCATCGTCAGACTTCCAGCAAAATGGTGGGGAACCCTCTACCACATAAACAGCATTTACCTGCTAGAATAGAGCACAGGTTGGTCACATTGACAATGCTCATCTACATTCAAGGAAGAAGAAGAAATTGTGGTTGCCAAGGAAGCTGCTTCAAACAGAGATGGAGTGCTCGGCACTAGATCTGGCCGGTGGCGTGAACCTAGTACTGCACACAGAAAAAGAACGAACAACATTAACAAATTACATTTCAAATTTAATCCAAGAATCTTTATGCAAGTATATGGAGTCATGTAGTGCTCTCAACAGCTTCCTGAAGCTTCTTAATACGTTTGAAGTGATGAGATCATAATATTCACGTGCCCAAACTCACGCTTTTTTGTGTTACAGGGCGAATTTCAGCTGCTAGCCAGTACATTCAGCAGAATACAGAGCAACCCCGAAGCCAAATATTAAACAGTGGTATGAATATCTGATGAATTCTTCTAAATCATGAGACTCATACCAGGGCCCAGTTTTCAGATGGGATTAGGCAGCTGCTTCTCCTTTGAGCCTGGGCTGCAGACAAGCTCTGAAAGGAGCAAAGTCTACATATCTCCAAAAAGACTCTGGGAACAATGAACTGAGCTTCATAACACTTCATGTGACGCATTTGTTTAAAAGTCAGTGAAAAGAAAAGCACTGGCTCCGGCCTTAATCTGACACCTGGGCTGGATATATTTTTTCAGGATCCTCTGAAATCGAAAAGATTTACGTCATACTATAACCTTGATTCTGACTTCCTTTTGCTCCTGAAGCTCCATTCTGCAAAATATGACTAACAACTCTCTCTGTGAGAATAATCTGACTCTGAAGTTTTGAAAGATCAGTGAGATTGGAAAAATTCTAGTTATAGGGCTTCTAGAGCTTATACTAAATTCCTTTAAAAATTTTATTTAGGCTGTTGATTTTGAAGACATTACCTTCATCATCAAGGCTGGCATAGCTTTGTCCTTCAGTAAGAATGCCATGCTTTTCATCCTTCCACTCCTGGCTAATGGCACATACTATTTCTTGTGATGTTGCCTTTAGGGCTGTGATGGAATTGCACTGTTTCTTTGAAGGTGAAGACTTTAAAGCTGCATTACCAAATGAACATAGGTGTTGAATGATGTAATCTTATCTCCCTGTACATCTTTAACAGCACATAGAAAAGCAAGCCATCTATAAAGCTACAGTTGCTGAATACAGACGAAGAACACATCCTCATACAAACCCACTTACCAAATACTATATTAAAACTAAAGCCAAAGTCATTATAATTTCATCTGTGAGTGAAGTACTTCTGTCTTTTTCTGGGGTTTCTTACTGCTCATAAGACAGAAAAAATCAAGTCAATCAACTTAAACATCATTAAGTTATAAATCTCCTGTTGAGTATCAACCCATGTCATCAGAGACACAATAATACAGAAAAAAACAGAAGACAGGAAAACTGAAAAGACGTTTGGAGTATTCTGAGAGGTTATGATCATTTCCTTGGGCTATGAACTGCTGCTATATAATGATGTATGTGCTACTGCAGAATTTCCAAATCAGTGACACATGTCAAACATCATCTTTGGGTAAAAGAAACACTTCCAAAACGTTGATGGCTTGTACACTCAGGTATGAGCATCCCCCTTATAATTCTTACCAGGGCCTCCCTACTTACAATCACATTTTGGGTGAAACTCTATGAACTGACCATTGCCATTACTACTGAACCATGACCCCCACTTGTAGTTCTCCAGAAAGATGCCAGCCAGTTCATTTTCTGTTTTTCAGTTGCCAGCTGCTGACCTCCACGCATTGCCTGCAAGGTTACTTCAGATGCACTGCAACAGGTCATATTGTGCTCTGCTACAAAATTGAGATTAAAAGCATCGAAGCCACTTGGCTGAAGACTGAAAAAGAGAATCAGATGCATAGCTCCAGGATATCATTACAAAATGACACAGTAGATAGCTGTTGAGCTAGCCTCTGTCCAAGGCTGAATCTGCTTATTATGTTTTTATTGTTATTTATGGGGGCTTGTTCTGTGCACTAAGGAAAAAAAAGCACACATTCAGAACACAGCTTGAGTTCAAACTGAAATGGTTAACCTGAAGTTTAGAAACAATGTTCCTGAAGACAGGAAGACTCCCAATTCTTTATTTTACAAAAGAATGATAATGGATTTGAACCATTAATCTGTATAAAAGTAGATTAATAGCCTTGTATGCAGAGCAGATCAGTAAGAGTGGGATATTAAGACAGGTTAATTGCCTGGAAAAATGAGACAGACAAATTAAGCCTAGAGAGAAAATTAAGCATGATGTCCTTAATTGTACATTGTAGTTTTCAAATACACAATGGGTTGCCTCTTGTGCTGACATAAATCTAGCACTCAGAACTAGAAAGAACTGGAAAAAAAAGGACTCATATATTCAGGAAACATATATGGCTGCACGAGACATATCTTTTGTCCAGCAGACAGAAGTATCAAGTTGTCTACTCCTTACTGTCTATCAGTGCAGAGGAGTTCCTTTGAGTATTGTCTCAGACAGCAGATCTCCCATCAGTTCTCTGGCAAATTATTCCACGGTTTAAGAGATCTGAGTCTCAGGAGGCTTCTTCCTCCTTTCAGCTGAATTTTGCTTCATATTTTGTCACATTACATCAGATTCTTTTATTTTATATTAATCGTCCTTTTCTGAAGGATTTAACGTTTAACACCTTAAGTTGTTAATTTGCACTAATATTTGTAGTCATTCTTGTTTCATTTGTAGTCATTCTTGTTTCATTAAATCTCATTTAGCTCCATACTTCATTTGTATTTTTTTCTACCTTTATCCACATAGACTTGTTTCTCACTCCAGATAACTAGTAACAACACTAAGAGACCAGCATAACACTGGTCAAAAAGGTATTTACAAAACACCTACCACCAGTTCAACACAATGCCATATGCTCAATACTCCTGTGAAACACTGTTTCCTAGAGGCTAAGCAGATATATCCCTTCTCTTCCTGGAAAAAAAAGAATGCAACAGCACCTCCACAGATTTAAAAAATAATTTGGCAGTAAAGACGTAAGTTAGCATGGATGCAAACTATTTAAACCAGCTGATCTGTATGTCTTATAATAAAGTTTCATACCACTTCCCGTAATTGTTGGAAAATCTCCTCATCGCTCAGATGACCAGAACAGCTTTTCCCCAAAAAGCAGCCCAGGCCACAGCGAACCCCACGCAATCATCTTTGCCTTGCTGGCTTATTTATCAGTTCTTCCCTACAGCCCTCCTCACTGCAAGGACACTGACTGCATCTCGGCAGTCATCACCATCTTTCTCTGTAATTGTGGTACTTCAAACTGAATGTCCTTTCAGTAGCATGACTAACTCATACACAAATTATCCATCAATTCATAAATATTTATAAGACTCTCCAAGAGTCTTATGTTGTGACAGTTATTCAGGAAAATATCATGCATATAGGGAATCACTAATTAGGGTTAATTCAAGTTCTCTTTTTCTTCTAAAGACTCCTTCACTCCACTTAAAATATTTTTTATTTGTTTTTAGTTCAGCTACTCTCCGCGTTCTCCTTTCATCAGCCTATCCTATTCTTTTTCTTCTTATTTTGTAATTTCACAAAGCACTTATCACCTAAACTTCTCTTTTCTTGTTGCTCTTAGTTATCAGTTTTCCCTCTTCTTTCTTGCCCTTTTAGACTTAATCGTGTATATTTTTCTAGTCTGCCATGCCTCTAACATTGGTTTTCATGGACAGGGTCAGAGTTTCACATGCTCACTCCAAATAATTTTATTCTTTCCAAGAACAGCTGGATACTGGTCTTCAGAAAAGTGATATTATCTTTAGACAAAATGCAGAGTAACAAAGGCCATCATACTGTGAAAAATACTGACTTCCAGTGGTAGAAATTTTAGTGAAAATAAAACCCGATCTGAACTTTTGATAGAAGAAGCAGACTCTCTAAACTTTGGGGGGTTTTCTGATTGTGCAATAAGAATATACTTAATCACACCTGAAGGAACTATAATTCAAGGTAGATAAGAACATATGAACTTAAATTCAAGATATGTATTCTTGAATGATAGCTAATTTTTCCCCATTAATTTTCAAATTCAGTCTAAATGCATCAAGTCTGAAAATAATTCTGTTCCTTAATACTTCAAATTCTGTTGTTTTGCTTCATAGCTGCACGTGGATTATGATAAAATATCTATACTGCTCACTCTACATGACTAAAGAAACATTAATTTGGTCTTTTCAGTTTGGAATCAAGAAACAAAACATGGTAGCTATTCCTCCAGTATTTTTGCTGAAATCTAACTTCATATGCCTACATGGTAGTTACTGCAGTATTTGGACTCTCTGGAAGGTACAGTGCACAGTTTTGGCTGGGACAGAATTAATTTTCTTTGTAGTAGCTCTGTGGTGCTGTGTCTTGGATTTGTGATGAAAACAGTGTTGATAGCATACCAAGGTTTTAGTTACTGCTGAGCTGTGCTAATAGAGCATCAAGGCCGCCTCACACCTCCCCACCAGCGAGCAGGCTGGGGGTGCACACGAAGCTGTGAGGGGACACGGCTGGGACAGCTGACCCCAACCGACAAAAGGGACACCCCAGACCACACGACGTCATGCTCAGCAATAACAGATGGGATCAACAGAAGCAAGGGGAAAATGTTCACGGTTATGGCACTTCTCTTCCCAAGTAAACACTACGCATAATGAATCCCTGCTTTCCTGGAGATGGCTAAACAACTGCCTGCTGACGGATAGTGGATGAATTCCATACTTCACTTTGCTTGCACATACAATTTTTGCTTTCCCTATTAAACCGTCTTTATCTCAATCCAAGAGTTTTCTCACTTTTACCCTTCCAAATCTCTCCCCCACCCCACAGGGAGGGGAGTGAGTGATCATCTGTGTGGGGCTCCATTGCCCACCAGGGTTAAACCACAACATACAGGAAGAACTCACATATGTAGGATCATTTTACTCACCATCCCCAATGCCTTAAGATGATCTACAGTTTCAGGGTCTACTTTAATTTACAGAAATGATTTCATTTTATTTGAAAGAAGTGACAATCAATAGTTAAATTATTGCTGCAAGACTTAAGCTTAAGCCTTTGGACAACTCTTGGTAGTGACGTCCCGTTGTAGTGATTGTGGGTTTCTCTTGGCTTTTTTTCTTTGTCCCGTCTACTGGGTTTGAGTGGCAAGGTTTTGGTAGTGGGGCGGCTGCAGGGGTGGCTTCTGTGAGAAGCTGCCAGAAGCTTCCCCTGTGTCTGACACAGCCAATGCGAACCGGCTCCAAGACGTACCCAACACTGGCCAAGGCTGAGCCCATCTGCGATGGAGGTAGTGCCTCTGTACTAACGTATTTAAGAAGGAAAAAACAAAAAAAAAACCATGGGCAACTGCAGCAGGTGAGAGGAGTGACAACATGTGAGAGAAACAACTCTGCAGTTGTTGGACAACTGCAAGGTCAGTGATGACAACCAAGGTCAGTGAAAAAGGGGGAGGAGGTGCTCCAGGCACTACAGCAGAGATTCCCCTGCAGCCCATGGTGAAGACCATGGTAAGGCAGGCTATTCCGCTGCAGCCCATGGAGGTCCATGGAGGAGCAGATATCCACTTGTAGCCCGTGGAGGACCCCACGCTGGAGCAGGGAGATGCCCGAAGGAGGCAGTGACCCCATGGAGAGCCTGCACATGAGCAGGCTCCTGCCAGGACCTGTGGACCCATGGAGATAGGGGCCCAAGCCAGAGGGGGTTTAGTGACAGGGCCTGGAGCAGTCTGTTCCTCAAGCACTGCACCCTGTGGGAGGGACCCATGCTGGGGCAGTTCATGAAGAACTGCAGCCTGTGGGAAGGACTCCTGTTGGAGAAGTTTGTGGAGAACTGTCTCCTGTGGGAGGGACCCTACGCTGGAGCAGGGGAAGAGCGCGGAGGAAGGAGCAACAGAAACACGTGGTGAACTGACCATAACCCCCATTCCCCATCCCCCTGTGCCACTTAGGGGGAGGAGGTAGAGAAAATCTGGAGTGAAGTTGAGCCTGGGAAGCAGGGAGGGGTGAGGCAAGGGTGTTTTTAAGATTTGGTTTTATTTCTCATTACCCTACTCTATTTTGATTGGTAATAAATTGAATTAATTTTCCCACATCAAGTCTGTTTTGCCCGTGATTAGTAACTGGTGAGTGACCTCTCCTTGTCCTTATCTCGACCCATGCACCTTCTGTTCTATTTTTCACCCCCTGTTCAGTTGAGAAGAGGGAGTGAGAGCAGCTTGGTGGGCACCTGGCATCCAGCCAGGGTCAACCCACCACACCCTGTACGAAGGTAGTAACAATATCTATTTTACCCTTGAGAATGAATTAAAGGATCAAGGAAGGAGAAATGAAGGGGGAAACAGGTGATACTGACAAAGACAAAAGACTTAATTAATATCCAGCTTCTGATTTTTTCCCTTGATAAAGCACAGAAAAAATCTGTATCAAAAAGGAAGAATGCCTACCTTTTCAAACATGCTGGAGGTGGTATGTAAACAATCTTTACTTTTGAAATTAAATAAAATAAAATCAATGGATGTGTTCCTATGAGTAACAAATGCAGGACTGGACATATCATTAGATCACAAAATTTACATCAATGCTAATATAAGGGAACCTGTTTTACCTTCAGATGCCCCTGATGTGACAAAAAATACATAGCAAATAATTCTCTGTAATTTTGCTACTAGAGTACAATCCCATTAACTCCAGTGACGAAATTCAACTTCTGGCAACGTAAGTGCTACATGATGTTGAAGAAAGGATTCTTTTATTGCCAAGACAGGAACATTTTAAAGTAATCATTATACAAATATCCACAAGATTTAAAGTCACAACTTTCTTACCTTGAACTTTCTTGAAAACTCTGGTACTCATAAACTTTAAAAATCTGTCAGCATAAAAACTTGGTCGGTGAACTGAAACAGTGTCCTACAAGATTGAAAATGGTCTCAGTCACATTTTCCGTAAGTAAACTACAAGTAAATTGTCAAGAAAGAAGCTGGACACCTCAGTTAAACTATATGGCACATTTCAAGCATACTCAAAACAAGTGAATCCTAACAAGTTTTTCCTTTTTAAAGCTCAATTCTTCAAGAACTTTAAGTATTTCATTTATGAAATTATGAGTTACGAATTATACAGGCATATCCTGCAAAATCTTCACAGCATTTGAAATGCTTTTTTTCACAATATGTACATTTTTCAGTTACAGATTCATCGATGTCCTGCTAAGTGGCCATTGTCTTGTGTAAGTTATATGGACAAGCCGATAATTTTAGTTGCTTTTTGAAAGATCAGCAAATCAAATCAGAGCCTGTACTGGGAAAAGGACGTAAAAGATTTCAGTAACAGCGCAAACCACATGGTGATGGTTGACTACAAATGTACCGGAGGTAGGTCCTTCCTGGTCAACCTAAGGTAAAATTCCATTAGCTAAAGCAGCAGCAGTTCAAAAAAATAATAAAATCTACTTACCCCATCATAAACCAGAGCTTTCCAAGAATGTTCCAGCTTCTTCATTAACCTAATCACATAAAACAAAATCAGAATTGCTTTATAAAATTTCCACATTGTAAGTACATTCAGAATAGCTTATTCAATAAAAACTTGAAATTCAACTCACCTATAAGACTGGAGAATATCAATAATACCCATAAATAGAAGCAGCTTTTCTCCTTTATGGCTTTTAGCTGGAATACCTCCCATTCTGAGAGAAACAACAAAAACGCAGCTAGATTATCTTTTAAGACATGTCTGATCATGGTTAGCAGGTGAGCTGTACCCACTTGCAAATCCAAAGAAACAGGCACAATATTAAAGCTAGATGCCACAATGCAAAGTCAGTCAAATGTGAATCAGTTAGCACACAACTGATTTTAAACAGCAAACCTGAAGTACCTGGGATACAGTGGTAAATATACATTATAATCAAAGCGTATTTTAGGATAACTTTTATACAGAATTGGAAATATTCAGATAATCTGAAAATTGGAAAAAAATGTATATCATTTTATTACTAAGAAAACCAAATAATTTTGCCTAGCTAAAGCAGATTTTTTTCACTTTATTGATCACACGTAACAAAACTGTAGAGAGGCTGCACATTATTCCAAGTATGAAGAGGTTGTTTGGTATATTTTTGAATAAAATTCAGTCTGCGCTTTTCCAAAAATTCTTTATAGACAGATTGATGATATAAAAGGTAACAGTATCAAGCTATGAAGTCTGACTGCCTGGAGTTCCACTTGGTTCAGAGTATTTACTCAGCCATAACCTTAAACAACAAGGTGAGCTTAAAGAACACCTCCTGGTGTGGAGGGCTTTAAATTGAAAGACTTGGGGGGCGGGGGGCAAAGTCACAATGCTCAAGCCATCCCGTCTGGCTGGGGATTAAGGGTGGCTAATCAGAGCAGGGACAAATACTCCTCAGCTGTGTCCCAAGCTCAGAAGCAAAAGACTGACAACCTTAAGGGTGGGCACGGACATGGCAGATCCTCTTGCACCCCTGCAGGGAAACCAGCATGCTCGAGTTCGTCCCTGAAATGTCTGTACACTAATGCATGCAGCATGGGCAATAAGCAGGAAGAATTAAGAGATCTGTGTGCGATTGAAGGGCCATGATCTCATTGCAATCACGGAGACATGGTGGGACAACTCGCGTGACTGGAATGCTGTAATGGATGGCTACACACTCTTCCGGAAAGACAGGCCAACAAGGGGAGGTGGTGGAGTTGCTCTGTATGTGAGGGAGCAACTGGAATGCATTCAGCTTGGCCTGGGGGCAGATGAAGAATGAGCCGAGAGCTTATGGGTCAGAATTAAGGGACAGGCTCATAAGGGCGACGCTGTTGTCGGTGTGCACTACAGGCCACCTGACCAGGAGGAGGAGGTTGATGAGGCCTTCTATAGGCAGCTGCAAGCAGCCTCACAGTCACAGGCCCTGGTTCTCATGGGGGACTTCAACCACCCTGACATCAGCTGGGAAGATCATACAGCCAGGCACATGCAGTCCAGGAGGTTCCTACAGAGATGATAATTTTCTGATGCAAATAGTGGAGGAGCCAACAAGCAGAGACGCTCTGCTGGACCCTGTACTAACGAACAAAGAGGGACTGGTTGGGGATGTGAAGGTTATGGGTACCCTTGGCTGCAGTGACCATGAAATGGCGAAGTTCAGGAACCTGCATGGAGGAAGCAGGGCGATAAGTAGGATCAAAACTTGGACTTCAGGAAAGCTAACTTTGGCCTCTTCAGGGACCTACTTGGAGGAATCCCATGGGTCAGGGCTCTAGAAGGTAGGGGGGTCCAAGAGAGGTGTTTAAACATCACTTCCTCCATGCTCAGGAGCGGTGCATACCCCTGAGAAAGAAATCTAGAAAGGGAGGCAGGAGACCCACACAGATGAGCAAGGAGCTTCTAGCAGAGCTCAGATGGAAGAGAAAGGTCTATGGAATGTGGAAAGAGGGACAGGCCTCTTGGGAAGAATACAGGAATGTGGTCAGAGCAGGGATGCAATGAGGAAGGCTAAGGTCCACCTGGAATTCAATCTGGCAAGGGATGTCAAAAACAACAAGAAGGGCTTCTTCAACTACATCAGCAGCA